ATCCCCGATGATTTTCGGGCCGGGGACGGGGATAGGTTCCCCAACCCCGCCCCCGCCCCGACTAATCCCCGTATAGTTATTATAATATATATATATATATATTACATTATATGTTTAGGCCCTCTCTCTTACTCGATTCTCTCAGCCTCTCTCTCTCTCTGTGCTGTGTAGATCTTGTGATGAAGATCAATGGCAGATAAGGTGTCTACAGAATCATTGCTGAATAAGGTGTCTACAGGCGACGACGACAACATTCCACCGAATCAGACCCTTCTCCTCCTCCTCCTCCTCCTCCGACGACGACGACGACGAGCGCCAACTCCTCTTCTTCCTCCTCCAACGACGAGGGCCACCTCCTTCCCCTCCGAGACCTCCGACAACAACGACGTTCCCTCTACCACGCCAGATCTGAGCAGATGGATCTCTCTCTCTCTCTACTCAGATTTGTGTGTTGTTGATGTTGTTTGATGATATTGTTGTTGATGATGTTGATGTTGAGGATGTTATTGTTACTATTGTTTGTTTGTTTGTTTTTTTTTTTTTTTGGATCCGGGAAATTTTCGGGGTTGGGGAAACCCGATCCCCGTTAGGGGACGGGGACGGGGACGGGGATGGTAATAGGTTCCCCGTCGGGATCGGGGCCGGGGATGGGGACATTGTTACCATCGGGGATCGGGGACGGGGAGGGTGATCCCCGGCCCCACCCCGCCCCGTTGCCATTCCTATCTCTCTATTTTAATCAAAAGCCAATCAATCAATCTTCTCTTCATTACCTCTCATATAACTTCCACTCACTATCTCTCCTCCTACCCCACCAGAGACCCATCATTTTCTCTCACTTTTTCCAGGAAAGAAAATGATGGGAAACTGAGAAATCAACCAAAGATCAATCAAGAACAACACTAGCATGAAGCTCCAAACACATTTAGTTTTGCTGTTCTTCTTCTACTTTTTTTCAGCTATCTTGGTTGATGATCATAATGAAACATCTATTTTACTATCCATAAAAGCAAGCCTGATTGATCCATTGAATTAGCTTCAAAATTGGAAAGTTCCCAACAATGGGTTGTTGGGAAACACTTCACTCCACTGTAATTGGACTGGTGTGTGGTGCAACTCAAATGGAGCTGTTGAGAAGCTTGACCTCTCTCACATGAATCTCAGTGACACTGTATCAAATGAAATCCAACAATTACCGAGTCTCACTTCTCTCAACCTCTGCTGCAATGGGTTCTCATCCCCATTGCCAAAATCTCTCTCCAATCTCACTTCAATTCAAACCATTGATCTCAGCCAAAACTGCATTTTTGATTCCTTTCCAATCGGCATTGGCAGAGCTGCGAGATTGACAGCACTCAATGCTTCCAGCAACAATCCCTATTGGGTTTGGCAAACTTGGGAGGCTTCAGAGGCTTGATTTGGCAAACAACAGTCTAATTGGCCAAATTCCAATTGACATTGCTGCTTCTAATTCACTTTTGGAAGGAAATCATTATTGGAAGCAACAAAAAATGAAAAATATTTAATGGAGGGAAAAAGAAATGAGAAACGAAATGGGAAACAAAAAGGGAGGGAAAAAAAAAATCAAAACCCCTAACCGGTCAACCACCAGGTCATCCCACCGGACGTCCCCTTTGTTTTGATGCATGCTACAGTGCAACGGTTGGAACTGCTCGTATCAGATTGAGGAAATTGCCTTTTTTTTACTCAGATTTGGTGAAAATTTTGCTATACCGTTGGAAATGCTCTTAATAGTGAAAAGTATAACAAAAATCCTACAAATTAGTTAATAATTAAGCAATAGTATCACTTCTCAGTCCTCCTGCTGCCAGCCCATTCTTTTAAGCAATGTGCTCCACTGCTCCTGTCTCTTCACTTTCCTAGAAAAACAAATTCAAGTGTTTTAATACCGTTTCAGAAAATCATAACAAATGCATGAAATGAAAAAATCACCCCTTACAGAATACAACATCTCAAAAAGGATTGGATTTCACTAGTTGGTAGAGACATTGGAAATAATTAAATTCAACAATCTAAATTAAACAGCTTAAGCCTCGGAGGTTATATCATGGGACTATAGTGGGTTTAGAGCATTGAAGATTGTACTCACAAAGGTATGATCATGTGTACTCACAAAGGTCTGGTGCGGTCTTACGGTGTCACCTTGGCTCAACCAAGCAAAGCTCCAATGGTCAAGGTGCAAGTCCCCCAAAAGGATGGGAGCTCTAGCCTCCAAGCCACAACTCATCTCTAAAAATCCTCACCTTAAGCCATGGGTTCGCACTCCATGACCAACCCCGAGGGGATTCCTAGGCTTTGCTACTGACCTAGGCAGGCCTGCTAGTATCAATATCCTTTCAGAGACAGCACAAGCAGAGAATCCTTCAAGAATGACAACTCTCTAGTTTCTAGCAACATTGAGAATTTTTAAACAACAATAAAAAAGGAGTTTCACAAAGTGTGGATTTCAAACACAGTTTCTGTAACATGAAGGCTGTGAGCAAGTTTGAGAACTCTGCTCACCACCTCCATTGCCTCGTGCTTCTAATATATAACTTTTACTATAACAAACAAGCCCTGTTATCAAAATCTTATGATTCGCGATTCGATTCGCAATTTTTGCAAAATCGATACGAATCTATGGGCAAATCTATGTTGGAAATGAATCTCTAGTGAATCACACGATTCACAATTGATTCACGATTCGATTCACTTTTTACGATTCATGCAATTCTTGAAACTATTGTATCTGACATATTTTCAACTCTTTTTTTCTCCTCCTTTTAGTAAAAATGACATAATGCAACTTCCAATAGCGTTTAATGCCAAAATAATCAATATATATACATCATTTGTATTATTTTAGTGATCATTCAGTTTTTAATAAGATCCAATCAGATTAGTCAGACTTAACATGGTTTTAGCCTTTCTTCTCATTTTTTCCTTTTAAAAAATCATAATATATCTTCTAAAGATGTTTAAGATTAAAGTAACTTACACCATGAATTATTTATTGCTATTTTATTAAATTAAGGGTTAGTTTGGCATAAACTTAATAATACAAAAAGTCAAAAAGTCACTATCCTATTTAAGTCACATCATCTTATTTAAATCACATCACCTCTCTAACACATCATATCAAACCCAACCCAAACCTAACCCATATAAGCTAATAAGTCAAAAAGTGCACTTTTTTAGAACATCCTAAACCAGCCCTAAATATAGTTTAATATTACATGAGTGAAGCCAGTTATACCTTTTAAAATGTTTTATGCTTTAAAATAAAAGATCCTAAGTAATAATTTCTTATTATTTGGTCATTTTTACTTGAAAAAGTATGCATGCTTATTGTTCAAATATCAATATCGTTGTCAAATTATTGTTACTTTGAAAATTGAGAGTTTGTCATTATTTACTGTCTTTTATTAAAAATGGTTGATAAAAAATATTAAAAACGGGAAAAGGTAAGATGGTGATCTCATATAGGAGCCTTTGTTAACTTATTACCTATTAAACTACATGATCATTATACAAAACCAGTGTCGTGAAAGGCGCGCCTAGGCGCAGCTTTGGCGACTGAAAAGCCCCAAGGCGAGGCGAGGTAGATAAGTCGCGCGCCTTGGCCGAGCCTTGGGCCAGGCGCGAATAGGTACAAGGCGATGCTTAAGCGTGCCTTTTTGTTTTTTTGTGTTTTTTTGCCCCTATGCTTATCGACGGCTTTGATCTAAGTTTGAATGGGCCCAACACATACGATTGCAACTCATACAACACATACGAGAGTCGAAGCCCTAAAATTTTTCGGTGTCGTCTCTTCTCTTCGCGCTAGTCTGCAGCTCAATACGATTGCGACTTCGTCTTTGATTGAAGACTAAGACTTCGGCTTCGGCTACAGGTTAGTCTTCTTCTTCTTCTTCTTCTTCTTCTTCTTCTTCTTCGTCTGCTTGCTGTCATCTTGTCTCTGTCTCTGTCTTTGTCTCTTTTTTTTTTTGCTTCTTCATCGTTGTATTTCCCTTCTTCTCCTTCGTCTCTCATCTTCTCAACTTCGACGACTTGACCTCCCTTCAACTTCGATCGCTCTCTCTATCTCTCTCGCCTTCACCTCTCGCGAGCTCGCGATCTCTCTCTCTTTCCTCTCTTTCTCTCTCTCGGCTTCTCTCTGTCTTGTCTAGCCTCTGTTTTACCTATATCTTATATATAGGCCAAGTTTGGCATGTCTTGAAAAAGATAAAAAGTTAAAAAGTCACTATCCTATTTAAGTCACATCATCTTATTTAAGTCATATCACCTCTCTAACACATCACTTCAAACCTAACCCAAACCCAACCCATGTTTCATAAAAAGTCAAAAAGTGCACTTTAATTAGATCATCCCAAACAACCCCATAATATATTATCTTATATCTTATATAATATATATTTATACATATTAATAAAAAAACACAAATATATGTACGTAAAATAAAAATAAATTATATTATACTGAAATTATAAATTATTTTACACTGTTGGTAAAATATAAATTATTTGTAATTATTTTACACTGAAATCACAAATTATATTAGACTGAAATTACAAATTATGTTACACTGGTGGTCAGTTTTTTTCCTTTCTCTGTTAGGAAAAAAAATATAAATAATTAATTAATCACACAGTACATTACATTGAAATTACAAATTATTTTCAATTTATTTTCCACACCCTTTGTCTTGATTACTTTTATTTTTCAAAAAAATTGTCTTAATACTGTGAATGATTAGTCTATGTTAATTTATCTATTTTTTATTAAGATTGTGCACCTTGCTTCAATAAAGCTCGTGCCTCGCCTTGCGCCTTGCACCTAGGCCCCGAGAGACCTTCAGCGCCTTAGTGCGCCTTGAGCCTTCAAAAACACTGTTCAAAACAACATTTTCATTTATCTAAGTCTAAATATTTCATATTTATAAAATATATTTAACATTCAAGTGTGTAAATATATTTTTCTAAGTAATTTAGAAAAAGTGACCGAATCTTTACGATTCACGATTCGATTCAATTCGTGATTCGGTATGAGGCCATCTCGATTCACGATTCAAATTCCGATTTGACAACTATGCAAACAAGACAAAGGTGTGGAAATTTAAGTGAACACACAAATTTGCTTCCAGAAATCCCACATTTACTAATTGTCATTGTGCAGCGTTGCATTTTAATCGTTCATTAAAGCCAAAACAGCATCTATCAAAATAAAAATGTGTGAGGGGTAAAGGCCGAGATATTTGCAGCAAGTTTTTCACTAATCACAATGGAACTAAGACATTATACAAATCTATAACATGGGCATCCTTGTAGAATACTGGTGGTCATTGTAGAGCAAGTACTAGTCTCACCTGCATCGTAACATGTTGCCTCTTGCAATCAAAGAACTAAAGGTCGAATTTATTAAGATGAGAACATCTCAAGGAACATTCTCGTCTATTCCTTGAACATCCATGCAAAATACAGTCCTTTGAGAGGACCAATTCATAGTTCAACAATTTGGACTACAAAACTAACATGTATTTGAGAAGTCTCATGCATAAGAGGTCATTCCATGATTATATTATTTGATGATGATAAACTTGGATGAAGCACCAAAAGCAAAGAACAAAAAACAACAGACTATTAGAAACTATGCACGCAACAATCCAATGTCAAGTATGACAGACCATCATAAAATCCCTAAAAGTTTTTTTAACCATAATCATTATTTTCTCATGATAGGGTTCTCAATAACAAGAGTATTTCTTGCAGTAAGTGCAATAAGTTGTACCAGACAGTTATTGTTTCAACATGTTGAAGACCTGCTAGGTGCACTGCATACACAGTATATTATTACAAAAATAGCAATCAAATTAAGCTGCTGCATCATGTCATGAAAGAAGGCCCATCTGAAGGAATGAAGATTTCCAGAGTAACTAGTGTATCAGCTGCAGTTTCTTCTGAACTGCAGCTTATGCCATTACTTAAATTTGAAAAAATTGTCAGCTCATTTTCATCACAGAATTTCCTTATGGAGGGTATGATCACTTTGATTACTTCTTTTTAGATTTAACTCTAGAACTCAAGTATGATATAGAGTATCAAATTGTCCAATTGGTCGTAGAAAGAAAAAAGGGGAAAATTCTAACTAGCAAAGGCAACCCACTCTTAAATAACACATGGTTAATAATAATAATAATAACAATAAACAATTTCTCAATAATAATAATAATAATAACACATGGTTGAGCTAATATTTACCAATTTTGAGCAAATAGGTAAGCATAGCGACAAAGGAGGCAAGAGGAGTACACTATTTGCTCAAAATTGGTAAATATTAGCTCAACCATGCAATAAAATTGCAACTCAATAATTTTTCACTTAACTAACAAGAAAACTGACAAGTAAGAAAACAATAGCACTATCCAAGCCATGAAGCACTCTACATCACCAAACTAGATATACAATTTGAGGTTCCCTCCAAATTCATGAATGTTTGAACTGTATCCAAATGACAAATGTGTCATATTTGATATTCTATACAAATATTTGGCCATATGACTAGATTCTAACCCGAGGCATTTATAAGGATGTTGCTAATATCACCTACTAAAGGAAAGTTAGCATTTCACATATATATACAAAGGCAAACACATATACATATATTTATCCAGAAACATCTCTCTACGTAATTTATACATTAAGAAACATATGACTCCCCTAACAAACTAAGCGAGAGAGAAAGAGAGAGAGATCCACCAGGTGATGGTGCTCTTTGATATTAAACTCATTGAAGGTTCCAATTTACTAAGTGACAAGCCAAACCAAGAAAAACTAATGAAGATTAAGGTGCTTGTAACTCTAGTATAGCAAATCGGAAATCATTAGAAAATGAAAATGTTAGAATTCATTTGGAGTGCCATAAATCCACATTGATAGCATGATTTGCATATTCGTCGAGTGGAATCCACAAATTTAGCATGGCTCCAAGCCCTATTTGCAAATTGAGAATTGAGAGCGGGGGAGCAGGACCACCCAAACAAACTTTGGGCCCTTGGCTGCACACAAATGCATTTACCTTAAAGCTATAGGTACTTTTTCCAGCTCCATTATTCACATAATTGTAATGATTCCAAATTTTGCCGTAGGAAATGTCAGTTGTGAGGTGGAAAGTCAGTTCTAAATGTTAAAACCGAGGTTTAATTTATAAGCAGTGAAGTGAGAAGCAGGATTAGTTTAAACCCACCAAAAGACAAACCAAGATACCACCCTCACTCTGGGCTGCCTCTCATCCCCATCCCAAAAGGGTTTGATAGAGAGGTTACCAGTTACCTGATTCTTGAATCAAATTATCATGTCTCCCCATGAAATGGTTACCTCTACTATGTATGAACAGTTGACAGATATATTATGCACACACGAAAAAATAATTGATATGCAAGAACGAACGAGTCTGGAAAACAATTCATAGCCAATAAGATTTTCAATTTTATTCGAATTACATGATAATTGTTAATCTCAATCCAGCCACAATACTTATGTTGACCATGGTTTTGATAATGATATAGGCACTTTACCAAAACGGGCATAAGTTAAAAAAGATTATAAATTAAACGTATAAATTTATTTATTTTTTGGTTAAAAAAACTGCCAATATATAGAAAAAATACGTATATTTACTTCCTGAAAAAATATCATGAAGTGCACAACTCATAAGAAAATATATAGAACCGTCTAGTTTACAAGGCAAAAAGTCTATTTCCCATCACCTAGCACAAATAAAAAAACATATTCAAACTAGCCACATTGTTATTGCTCATACTCGCATTAGACACAAGAGTGAGACTTAAGAAACAATTAAAAAGAAAAGGGATCTAAATACCTTCTTTCTTTGGATGGTTGCATTCCATGTATCTCATAAAACCTGTTTTCAAGAGAGTTTTCATTATTTAAAAAAAATAAAAATAAAATAAAATAAAATAAAAAAAACCACAACAACAACAACTATCATTATTTGTATTTGTCAAATTTATACCAAGAACAAATAACGAGCAACCTTTGGGCCAAAAGATCATGATAATGCAAGACAAGCCCAAGTGAACTTTAGATTATTTAAATTGTTGTTAAGATCCTAGTTTTTATTTAGTGTGTTCTGCTTGTCATGCATTTTTTAGTTTAAGCCACATTTATAGTCATCAAGAAATGATATTAGAGTCTTATCATTCATTGTTGACAAGAAATCATAGAAGCAGCCTTCTTGTTCTATTCTAGCAAGTTATTTATAATAAAAAATAAAAACCTCTTAGGGTCTCATCAAGCCTCAGCAGCATTATCTTTTCTTTTCTTTTCTTTTCTTTTCTTTTCTTTTTTTTCTCTTCAATCTATTGTGTGTACCAAACAAGCCATCATGTGTTTTGGTCACTTTCTTCACTCTACAAAAGCCCAATTGCCAGTATCTCAAATCTTTTAAGTACTCGACTTTTTATCCTCTAGTTCATTAATTCTACTAGATCAATGAGCATTGAATGATAAATAGCAATTACTAACATAAAAGACTAATAATAATCCAAGTAGAAATTGATTGAAAAGAAAAAAAGTTGAAACAACAAAAACAGAGGACAAACAAAAAAATGGGCAAGAGAGCACAAGGGAACATACCAATCGCAAAACAGACACCCAATACAACCTCCAACTCCCAACGAGACTATCTTCCTAGCTGCCATACAATTGTAATGAAGAATATTAACGAAAAACTCATGCTATGTTGGATCAGGGATTTGTAGAGGAAAAATAAAGTGAAATAATAATAATAATAATAATTTTAGCATCTTTTTACTTTATATTTTCTCTTTTCTTCTCCTTTCCCTTTACAAATCAAATAAAAATGTTACAATCAAATGAAAGCCATAGATCACAGTGTAAAAACATATGAAAAAAAGTACCTCCATCGTTGATATCATCAGTTCTGCGAACAAACACCACATGGAAAAATTCGATTTAATGTCAGAAAACAAGTTTCAAACAAAACTAATCTGAATATATAATCAATGTCGCCGGTTAACCAGATGAGAAGAAAACCCTAGTGAATTTGAATGAAATTTAGTTCTCAGATTCCATCCAAACGATCATTTAAAAAACATTTCTCAACGATCAAATCAAGCTTCAGCGCATCAGCAGAACAAAAACGATAAAAATAAATGAATAAAAGATGAATTATACCTCTGACGAAGCAATGTCGCGAACCTTCTCCAAGCCATTGCTTTTTGATTTGCCCTCGCCACAGAGACTGATGAATCCCTAAAAAAAAAAAAAAAAATTGTTGTAAGACGAGTACCGCCTTTCAATTTTGAAAAAATTACGATCCCTCTGTTTGGTTTGAATTTTTTGTATTTTTTGTTTTTCATTTTTACTGAATATTTTTAAAATTTAAAAAAAAAAATTTAGATATAACTTATTTACATATATGTAAATAGTATATGTAAATAGTAAATTATTTGTAAAAAAATATTTTAAAAATTAAAATTAATAAATATATAAAAATATAAAAAATGTATTAAATTTTTTTATTTTTTTGTATTTTTAGTATTTAGTAAATTTTTAAATTTTTTTTTTTACAAATATTATACTTTTTAAGTGTATTTATGTTAGGTGTGTCTAAAAATTTTATTAAAAAAAATTGTTTAAAATATTAAAAAATTTATTAAAAACAAAAAAATATATGAAAAATAGAAAGTGAAATTTTTTGAAAACCAAAACCAAACAAGCTGAATAATTCTTATAATTTTAATGTAATTATATAAAAAAAATTAATAAGACTAAAAATGGATCAGAATTAGGAGGCTTTTCCCAATATAAGCCATTTTTGTATTGTATTTCCAAAACTAGGCCAACTTCTGACGGAATTCCAGAACTAAGTTAAAGCGCCATTACTATTCGCGCTTTTACTGTTAGGAGCGCAAAAGTAGGTGAACAGGAAAATCGCTATTACAAATAGCGACTTTGATTAAGAAGTCGCTATTACAAATAGCGCTTCTAGTGTTAGTTTTTGTCCGGATAAAAACGCTTTTCTTAACAGCGCTTTTTACAAAATTTCCTAAAAAACGCTATTTCTAATAGCGATTTACAAAATAAACGGTTCGAATCATCGAAACGGAACTTGTGATGGGCTCTATAGGCTCCTCAAGTTCTCTCTTATTGAGATCTCAATATGAGAAAAATCCAAAGTAATTATATGTTGGATCTGATTAACGAATGTTTCAAGGCACAGGGACTATAAGAACAACAACAACGTAAAAGATCATGTTATCTCTATTTATCTAATTGTCATTTATCTGTTCACGTGTCACTCATTTGTCCAAATTATCACCACAACTGTCGATGACTTTTCCGATGATGGTCCTGTGACTATCTAGCGACAGTCGAGTGATTGTGGTGTGTAAGGGTATAACTACACAAGAGTGAAAATAAAAATAAATAAATAAATCTTCAAAACAATAATTTGTTTTTTTTTTTTTCCACCAAAACCTTTTATTATTATGTCCTTATCAATAAAATAAATTAATCAGTGAAAATGTCTATATTTTGAATATTGAATAAACCAACGTACATTTGTTGAATTGGAAATTGTTTTTTTTTGCTTGTGAAGAGGAATTAAAAGGAAATTAGGGTTTTAAAAGTAATTTTTTTTAATTAAGAATTGCGATTAAAAAATCCGAAATTCATATATTTAATTTTGACTCTATTTTATTAAAAAGAAATATTTTTATTGGTTTATCAAAATAAAGTATTTTTAATTTGAAACATATACTGTCATTATATAATTTTAAATAAAGTATTTTTATTTATTTGGTTTTTTATTTTTTGGAATAAATTGAAATGCTTTATTTTTTTTGTAATATTATAGCATCAATGGATTTTATTTTTTTGGTTCTAATATTATAAAATTAATAGATTAAAATCTAATTGTAAGTGAAATTCAATAATCTATTTCAAAGAATTGTTTCAAGTTAAATGAGCTTCCAAATAAAGAAAGTAATATTATTTATATGATTTATAAATTTATATTTTATTTATAATGAAATATTAATGTTTTTTGTTTTTTTATTCAAGAGGGTACTATCATTTTATTTTGTTTATTTTTTTTATAAATTAGTTAATTTCATTATTTCAAATGTGAGAACATTTTTGTCTATGTACAAAAATATCTGAGTTTCATCATATTTATTTCTATTTATGTTTTACATTCTCCTATACAAATGAAGATAGTTAAAATAATTAAATACATTGGGCACATGTTAAAAAGACGCTTGTCATAATGTGCTTAAGCCTTGAAGTCCCATGGGATTTGCTAATTAAGGTCCGTTTGACCAGAGGTGAATTGGCTAAAATATTTGGCTGAAAAGACTACTAAAAAAAATCAAAAATCAAAAATCAAAAAGTTAACAAATTCAACCCTATTAGCCTCTATTTGGGAAGAGACTTTTTGGGCTTTTTTGGGCTAAAATAGCCACAAAAGATAAAATAAGCTATTTTAGTCACAATAAACAAAATATCACATTCAACTCATAATCCTTACACTCTTCTCTCACAAAAAAAGTCAAAAAAGTCAAAAAGTCAAAAAGTCCTTCCCAAACCAAACTTTTTAGCCCAGGCTAAAATAGTTAAAAAAGCCAAAAAAACCAACCCACTTCCCAAACAAAGTCTAAGTAAAAGATCACATCATATATATCAATCATTTTTTTCCTCACAACTATTTATTCAATTAAAAAAAAATTCCAAACACATTAATTTTTTTCACCTCATAAAAGACCAAAACATTAAAAAGCTACTAAAAAAATAAAGTTCCCAAAAGGGTACTAAAATGTGATAATGTAGGATTTTACAAAATAAATGGTTCGAATCATCGAAACGGAACTTGTGATGGGCTCTATAGGCTCCTCAAGTTCTCTCTTGTTGAGATCTCAATATGAGAAAAATCCAAAGTAATTATATGTTGGATCTGATTAACGAATGTTTCAAGGCACAGGGACTATAAGAACAACAACAACAACGTAAAAGATCATGTTATCTCAATTTATCTAATTGTCATTTATCTGTTCACGTGTCACTCATTTGTCCAAATTATCACCACAACTATCGATGACTTTTTCGATGATGGTCCTGTGACTATCTAGCGACAGTCGAGTGATTGTGGTGTGTAAGGGATAACTACACAAGAGTGAAAATAAAAATAAATAAATAAATCTTCAAAACAATAATTTGTTTTTTTTTTTTTCCACCAAAACCTTTTATTATTATGTCCTTATCAAAAATAAAGTTCCCAAAAGGGTACTAAAATGTGATAATGTAGGATTTTATAAAATAAACGGTTCGAATCATCGAAACGGAACTTGTGATGGGCTCTATAGGCTCCTCAAGTTCTCTCTTATTGAGATCTCAATATGAGAAAAATCCAAAGTAATTATATGTTGGATCTGATTAACGAATGTTTCAAGGCACAGGGACTTTAAGAACAACAACAATGTAAAAGATCATGTTATCTCTATTTATCTAATTGTCATTTATCTGTTCACGTGTCACTCATTTGTCCAAATTATCACCACAACTGTCGATGACTTTTCCGATGATGGTCCTGTGACTATCTAGCGACAGTCGAGTGATTGTGGTGTGTAAGGGTATAACTACACAAGAGTGAAAATAAAAATAAATAAATAAATCTTCAAAACAATAATTTGTTTTTTTTTTTCCACCAAAACCTTTTATTATTATGTCCTTATCAATAAAATAAATTAATCAGTGAAAATGTCTATATTTTGAATATTGAATAAACCAACGTACATTTGTTGAATTGGAAATTGTTTTTTTTTTTTTGCTTGTGAAGAGGAATTAAAAGGAAATTAGGGTTTTAAAAGTAATTTTTTTTAATTAAGAATTGCGATTAAAAAATTCGAAATTCATATATTTAATTTTAACTCTATTTTATTAAAAAGAAATATTTTTATTGGTTTCTCAAAATATTTAATTTTGACTCTATTTTATTAAAAAGAAATATTTTTATTGGTTTATCAAAATATTTAATTTTGACTCTATTTTATTGAAAAGAAATATTTTTTTTGGTTTCTGAAAATATTTAAATTTGACTGTATTTGATTTTAAAAAAAAAAATTGGTTTAATTTCGTTTGGTTTATTTCCCTATATTTGGGGTCACGCAGCCAAAATATGATTAAAACATTTAATGAGCTGAATTTGTAATACATATAATAGTATTCTAGTACAAATTAAAATTTTATGAGAAAACTGAAGAAAATTTGAAAAAGTTTTTGAAATTGGTATTGAACGAACTGACTTATCGTCTTTTTCACTTTGTGATTGTCCACTATCATTGAAAAGGAAAATCTACTTTGTAATAAATTTAGAGTAGTTACAATATATGCATGAAAAGAGTAATAAATTATTTTAATTAATAGTCCATAGCAATTTCGTACGTAAGAAGGGGAAAAAAAAATGGCACTTTGATGGGTAAGCATGTGTTTTGTAATACCAAATAATTCGTACGGATGGCCCGATAGATTCACATGGATAACTATCCAAAATGTAGTCCATACATTTAACCACCAACTTCAATTTAATTATCTCTAATTTTTGGCCGTTATAAATTATTTCTGTAATTATTTTTTTGTTTTTGTATGTGTAAGAAAAAAAAGGAGTAAATAAATTTTATTTTTTTCTTACTTTTCAGAACGATCCAAAATGATCCAAAATCAGGTTTTCTTACTTTTCAGAACGATCCAAAATGATCCAAAATCAGGTTTTCTTACTTTTCAGAACGATCCAAAATGATCCAAAATCAGGTTTTCTTACTTTTCAGAACGATCCAAAATGATCCAAAATCAGGTTTTCTTACTTTTCAGAACGATCCAAAATGATCCAAAATGTCACATTGCAGGACGTATCTGTCCTATACGGTCTACGGATTGATGGGCGAGCAGTTACTGGACTTGACCCATCATTGACGACGGAGCAGTGGATAGCGCTATGTGCTGAGCTATTGGGAGTAGCACCTACACTTGCAGACTTACAGGCAGGTAGAGTGAGGGTGAGGTGGCTGTCGGAGCATTTTCAGGGCGATTTTCCAGATGATGCTGCAGATGAGTTAGTACAGCAGCATGCGCGAGCATATATTCTGTGGCTTATTGGGGGGGTACTTCTCCCTGATAAGTCACAGAACCTGCTCAAGTTGATGTATTTGCCACTGTTGAGAGACCTTGACGTCATCGGCCAGTACAGCTGGGGCGCCGCGGCTTTGGCATGCTTGTATAGGATGCTATGTCGAGCAGCTCAAGTAGGTGCGAAGGAGATCGGAGGACCCCTTGTCTTGCTACAGGTTAGTAAGAATTTTATTACATGTCAATTCATATTGTATGGCATATAGCAGTATTGTAATTGCGTTCAAATTATTGCAGATTTGGGCGTGGGAGAGATTGATTCGCATTGCCCCGTCTAGGCGGCAACTAGTTGCTCCTGGTGAGGTTCCCATCGGGCAGGGAGACATGCAGATGCCGGCTGGACCTCGAGGTAGCCGATGGAGGGTTGACATGAGCCACGAGGTCGTATCGACCCACGTAGTGGTCGTGTATAGAGACCAGCTTGACCGGATGATAGACGGCGAGGTATCAAATTTAAATACCTAAATTTTAATTGTCATATGGACTGTATATGTTTATGAGCTATTTTTAATAGACTTGTCGTTATTGTAGTTTATCTGGCAGCCTTATGCTGATGTCCTCCAGACGCTCCCAGACTACTGCCGCCTAGGTGAGGATATATGGATGGCGAGAGTACCACTCATTTGTTTTGACGTGGTTGAGTGGCATCTCCCTGATCGTGTCCTCCGACAGTTTGGTCGGGTCCAGGCCGTGCCGGATCGGTGTGACACCGAGTGGCGGTTGCATGCGACGGATAGACGTGGCCAAGCCAGCACTGACTGGAGTTAGCATCATATGCGATACATACAGTTGTGGGATGCCCGTCGCGACACTATTGTACAGGCTGACTGGAGCGATGGGGTCCTCCCCTCTCCCGACCCTTACATGTTGTGGTATCGGCGACATACACACCTACTTGTCGGTAATCCGAGCCACCTGTCCGAGGCCGGATATCAGGGAGTTGGGCCTTCTCTCGAGTCATTGGTGAGTAGCGTACTATATCTCCGATAATTGTTAATATCATAATTGATTATTTTCAGTCAACTATAGCCTAATATATCTATTTTTTTTACAGGTGGTTCGAGCTGGGAGGTCATATCACTTGGCTGAGGATGCTATTTTCAGACGTGATGGACAGCTTGGTCTGCAGGCCCTTGTAGAGATCAGAGAGTTATTGTACGAGGGGATCCAGCATGCCCATCGGGTAGATCGTCTGCATTTTGGGGACTACGGTGTACACACTGCAGCAGCTGCTCCAGACACATCAGTCCCGTCCACGGCAGTGCCTTCCAGTTCAGCGCCAGCCACAGCAGGTCCTTCGACTTCAGTCACCCCACCACATGATACCCCATACATTTCTCCATATTCCCCACACGTATATCTTACCCAGCATGCTGACCCTGACCCTGATTGGTCACCGCCCCGCTTCATGCATGATGTTATTACCCCACCCACCCAGTTACATCCTACTTTTCTGGGGAGTACTTCGACCGCGCCCCGGTTCATGCATGATGTTGCTACCCCACCCACCCAGTTACCACCTGCTTTTATGGGGACTACTTCGACCGTGCCCAGGAGTACACATGATGCAGTTCTCACTGACATCTCACACATTGATGATGAGGGCCATATTGAGCCCCCCCCAGAGCGCGAGGGAGAGGTTATGGTCGTGGGGGACGTCGCGGCCGAGGTCGGGGTGCGGGCAGAGGCAGAGGTCTGGGTCCAGCTGCAGATCGTGATACAGTTGCACCAGACGAGGGAGTGGGAGTTTCACAGCTCACAGCAGTATCTGATCTACAGGCACAGGCAGGATCAGGGGCATGAGATGCAGGAGAGGGGGGGTCACACTCACACTCACAGGCTCCGCAGGCAGTCAGTGGGGGGCAGCATGCAGGGGAGAGAGTGCCAGATATTTAGAGAGTCTACCGTAGGAGACCGAGGAGGGAGATCCACAGTCGGGGTTGTGGGACTGGGGGCAGGTTAGGGCATTAGCAGTTGCGATATGGACTATATAGGTTTTTTTTTTTTTCTTTTTTTTGTTTGTATGTGTCAAACTTGTACAGCTGATGTAAGTGTCATACTTATTTATTCGCAATTATCATTTCACAATTTTTTATTCTTATTTATATTGATGAATCACACAAATCTATTTCACATCTCTACCCCTCTCTCATTATCCGTAATTTAGGAGAACATAAATTACAAACGCGTTTGGTTTGAACAAAACCTGTAAAGAAGCTATAAAAAATATGTTTGTTCAAGGCTAAAAATAATTGAAATATCTCGCTTCATTGATAAGTCATGGATAAGCATTACAAATTGCATGCATTACAGAAATGCCTTGGGCGTTCATCCAAACAATTTCATTCATTATCATCATCATCTGACATCTCAATATCAGATTCATACATAACATCCATGCTCCAGGCGTAGTACTGGTGTGCATCATCCATTAACCCATCTTCGGCACGCTCATTTGCGGTCTTCATTAGTTCGGACCTCTGCAAACGTTGGGTCATGCGATTAACCTCGTCGCGGATACGATGCAATGCCCTTTGCAACAACTGTGGAGTGTCAGTTGGCATACGCATGGCTAACCGGCGAGGAAATTTAAGATTAACTTCACGGCATAGCTCAACGAGAACGTTTGCTCGAGTTTTGCGAAATTCCCACTCAGCTCTCATGGTATTGACGGTGGCACGTGAGTAACGCAAATTTGGGTTTAATGGGTATTGAAATTCATCTCCATTTGCAACCCAATAGCGACCCATTGCTGAATATAGATCAACCACCGTATATGTCATGATCATATCGGTAGAAATAGCTGTAAAACTTTTGTTGTGGTATGCTACGATATTTATACCATATACACACATGGTAGCTGTGTGTATGCAATTTCCTGTTCGATCACATGCATGCCACTGACCTTATCCAGTGCATACGGTTGTCAGGACTCGACTTTGTGCAGTCATGAACGAATCAACGGCCTGTAGCATCAGCTATTGTGCTGCAGATGCAGCGATGCCTGTGACTTTGTGCATAATTGCAATGGGCACAGTACGTAGGAGGTATGTGACTTTGTGCAGGGATGCAGGGATGCATCTGACTTTGTGCAGTGATACAGTGATGCGTGTGACTTTGTGCATCACTGCATCACTGCATGTGACTTTCTGCAGTGATGCAATGCTGCATGTCACTTTATGCAGTGATGCAGTAATGCATGTGACTTTCTTACTTTGCCATGCTTGTATACGTTGTGACTTTTTTCTTGACATTACGTGATGCATGTGACTTCTGCAGTGCAACTTATATGCTTTGTTTTTTCCGCACATTTCAGAATTCATCTAAGTCACATTATTACGACTGTGAAAAGAAGCAGAAAATGCTATTATGTTGGTAAAAAAATATGATGGACGATTGTGTAATGACAATAAAAATCGGATGACTGTGAAGTTCATTAACTGAAAATAAGATAAAATATAGGCACCAAAGTTGCAATCGTGTTTACCTAGCAGGTGACCATTTTATTATGTTGGTGAGAAAAAAAATGATAGTTTATGAACAATATTACTTTAATACAAAGAAAATTTCATTTTTCGATTTCATTTATAATTTCTCGAAAACACTTATACGTACTGAAATTGTCAATTCCAAGTGAGTACTTATTGTATTACAAAAGTATGACAAAATAGTTTCATGTGCCTGTGACTTTGTGCATAATTGCAATGGGCACAGTACGTAAGAGGTATGTGACTTTGTGCAGCGATGCAGGGATGCATCTGACTTTGTGCAGTGATACAGTGATGCGTGTGACTTTGTGCATCACTGCATCACTGCATGTGACTTTGTGCAGTGATGCAATGCTGCATGTCACTTTATGCAGTGATGCAGTAATGCATGTGACTTTCTTACTTTGCCATGCTTGTATACGTTGTGACTTTTTTCTTGACATTACGTGATGCATGTGACTTCTGCAGTGCAACTTACATGCTTTGTTTTTTCCGCACATTTCAGAATTCATCTAAGTCACATTATTACGACTGTGAAAAGAAGCAGAAAATGCTATTATGTTGGTAAAAAAATATGATGGACGATTGTGTAATGACAATAAAAATCGGATGACTGTGAAGTTCATTAACTGAAAATAAGATAAAATATAGCGACTTTTTTGTTACAGTGACAACTCATCTCGTATTGATATATGTGGGATTCTCAATTTAGAAAGTCACATGGCAACAGTGAATTCACTGAATTACCTTACAGTCAGCATGCCCTTATTTTGTTCGTATATGCAGATGGATTGTGAAGTGATGTGACTTGGTGCACATGCTTTGGTTTTCTCCATTTTTTGCTCGACTTTTTTGTTACAGTGACAACTCATCTCGTATTGATATATGTGGGATTCTCAATTTAGAAAGTCACATGGCAACAGTGAATTCACTGAATTACCTTACAGTCAGCATGCCCTTATTTTGTTCGTATATGCAGATGGATTGTGAAGTGATGTGACTTGGTGCACATGCTTTGGTTTTCTCCATTTTTTGCTCGACTTTTTTGTTACAGTGACAACTCATCTCGTATTGATATATGTGGGATTCTCAATTTAGAAAGTCACATGGCAACAGTGAATTCACTGAATTACCTTACAGTCAGCATGCCCTTATTTTGTTCGTATATGCAGATGGATTGTGAAGTGATGTGACTTGGTGCACATGCTTTGGTTTTCTCCATTTTTTGCTCGACTTTTTTGTTACAGTGACAACTCATCTCGTATTGATATATGTGGGATTCTCAATTTAGAAAGTCACATGGCAACAGTGAATTCACTGAATTACCTTACAGTCAGCATGCCCTTATTTTGTTCGTATATGCAGATGGATTGTGAAGTGATGTGACTTGGTGCACATGCTTTGGTTTTCTCCATTTTTTGCTCGACTTTTTTGTTACAGTGACAACTCATCTCGTATTGATATATGTGGGATTCTCAATTTAGAAAGTCACATGGCAACAGTGAATTCACTGAATTACCTTACAGTCAGCATGCCCTTATTTTGTTCGTATATGCAGATGGATTGTGAAGTGATGTGACTTGGTGCACATGCTTTGGTTTTCTCCATTTTTTGCTCGACTTTTTTGTTACAGTGACAACTCATCTCGTATTGATATATGTGGGATTCTCAATTTAGAAAGTCACATGGCAACAGTGAATTCACTGAATTACCTTACAGTCAGCATGCCCTTATTTTGTTCGTATATGCAGATGGATTGTGAAGTGATGTGACTTGGTGCACATGCTTTGGTTTTCTCCATTTTTTGCTCGACTTTTTTGTTACAGTGACAACTCATCTCGTATTGATATATGTGGGATTCTCAATTTAGAAAGTCACATGGCAACAGTGAATTCACTGAATTACCTTACAGTCAGCATGCCCTTATTTTGTTCGTATATGCAGATGGATTGTGAAGTGATGTGACTTGGTGCACATGCTTTGGTTTTCTCCATTTTTTGCTCGACTTTTTTGTTACAGTGACAACTCATCTCGTATTGATATATGTGGGATTCTCAATTTAGAAAGTCACATGGCAACAGTGAATTCACTGAATTACCTTACAGTCAGCATGCCCTTATTTTGTTCGTATATGCAGATGGATTGTGAAGTGATGTGACTTGGTGCACATGCTTTGGTTTTCTCCATTTTTTGCTCGACTTTTTTGTTACAGTGACAACTCATCTCGTATTGATATATGTGGGATTCTCAATTTAGAAAGTCACATGGCAACAGTGAATTCACTGAATTACCTTACAGTCAGCATGCCCTTATTTTGTTCGTATATGCAGATGGATTGTGAAGTGATGTGACTTGGTGCACATGCTTTGGTTTTCTCCATTTTTTGCTCGACTTTTTTGTTACAGTGACAACTCATCTCGTATTGATATATGTGGGATTCTCAATTTAGAAAGTCACATGGCAACAGTGAATTCACTGAATTACCTTACAGTCAGCATGCCCTTATTTTGTTCGTATATGCAGATGGATTGTGAAGTGATGTGACTTGGTGCACATGCTTTGGTTTTCTCCATTTTTTGCTCGACTTTTTTGTTACAGTGACAACTCATCTCGTATTGATATATGTGGGATTCTCAATTTAGAAAGTCACATGGCAACAGTGAATTCACTGAATTACCTTACAGTCAGCATGCCCTTATTTTGTTCGTATATGCAGATGGATTGTGAAGTGATGTGACTTGGTGCACATGCTTTGGTTTTCTCCATTTTTTGCTCGTTTTTTTTATTACAGTGACAACTCATCTCGTATTGATATATGTGGGATTCTCAATTTAGAAAGTCACATGGCAACAGTGAATTCACTGAATTACCTTACAGTCACCATGCCCTTATTTTGTTCGTATATGCAGATGGATTGTGAAGTCATGTGACTTGGTGCACATGCTTTGGTTTTCTCCATTTTTTGCTCGACTTTTTTGTTACAGTGACAACTCATCTCGTATTGATATATGTGGGATTCTCAATTTAGAAAGTCACATGGCAACAGTGAATTCACTGAATTACCTTACAGTCAGCATGCCCTTATTTTGTTCGTATATGCAGATGGATTGTGAGGTCATGTGACTTGGTGCACATGCTTTGGTTTTCTCCATTTTTTGCTCGACTTTTTTGTTACAGTGACAACTCATCTCGTATTGATATATGTGGGATTCTCAACTTAGAAAGTCACATGGCAACAGTGAATTCACTGAATTACCTTACAATCAGCATGCCCTTATTTTGTTCGTATATGCAGATGGATTGTGAGGTCATGTGACTTGGTGCACATGCTTTGGTTTTCTCCATTTTTTGCTCGACTTTTTTATTACAGTGACAACTCATCTCGTATTGATATATGTGGGATTCTCAATTCAGAAAGTCACATGGCAACAGTGAATCCACTTATTTACCTTACAGTCAGCATGCATTTACCTTACAGTCAGCATGCATATATGTGGGATTCTCATTTATCTGTTCATAATCAACTATATAAACGAGTAAAGGTGAAGACACAGCCTTACAACTCATTTTGCCCTACGAAATTATCATTCATTTGTTTTAAAAAATTAGCATGGCTA